CCCATGGATTCAGTTTAAAGCTATACAAACACGTTGTGATCACATCGGCGGCCAGTCTATCAAAAACATTGATTATGTCGACCTCAGTGTTGGAGGGGGTAGTGGTGGTGATCCGGGTGTCCAACGCTTGCATCATATCTTTCACGCAGTCCTTGATTTGGACAAACATTTTACGCATCCGTGAGGCGGAGAAAGTGGGCGACAGTACCGCCCGTTGTCGGCGCCACTCGTCGCCCACCTTTACCTCGATATTCGTGGCCAGTATTGGGTGGGCTTTCGAGTGGAACAGAGGGTTCGCCTCTTTATCGTTAAACAGATGAAAATCTGTGACCAAAATGCTTTTGATAAGCTCCGGGTCCGCCACCGTTAGTATGGGTCGATTGCCTTCAAAAATGCTTTTAATGATAAAAATTGTGTTAAATTTTGTTGTGTCCGAAATACCCGTATATTTTGCCGAATTCGTGAATCCATTGGACCTCCAGATCAGTGGTTTGGTTCAGAAACTTATGCAAAATCAAAAATGCTTTTAATGATAAAAATTGTGTTAAATTTTGTTGTGTCCGAAATACCCGTATATTTTGCCGAATTCGTGAATCCATTGGACCTCCAGATCAGTGGTTTGGTTCAGAAACTTATGCAAAGTATTGCCGAAACCAATATAAGGCTTCGGGCCCCGTATGCCACGTTTGGTCCAGTAGTCAAAGTTTCGCGTAAAATATCTGTTAATAACATAATTATTTTACGTATTTAATTGTTAATTAACTAATTATTAGTAATTTAGTACCTGTAAACGGCATATAATATACAAGGTAATATGATAGCCCATGAATTACATATAAATAACGACTGAATATTAGTGAACATTATTATGATTTGTAAATCTAGTATGTTTTCACTTCAGAATAGCTAATATTGTACGAGCTCTGTATGAATTTGAACTAAAAATGATCTACCTTATATTAATGATAAAATTAAACGTTTTTTGTAATTCAAGTATACACTCTATTGATTGAATAAAATTTTAATGTAACTTTAACTTTTACTTAAACTTAAATTATAATATCCGAGAGTTTATTTTTTATGAATCGCAATGATTACTCAATCAAGTATACTACAGGTATTTTACGTTTTGTACCTATCTACAGTATTTATCACAATACAGTACTACAAGTGGGCAATGAATTTGTTGCTATGATAAGTACATACAGTACTATCCCACACATTAACTCACCAATAATTACTGTTTTGTGTTGATAGACATGTGACGTAAAACGTTGAACCCTAATTAAAAAACTGTCCGTACTTCAATTGAATAAACCCATAAAGTTTTTCTTATAATATTATAATTGGGTTTTAAATAACATTCAATGATGAGTGCGAATATGTTATTTATATCATCCAATGACCTCTGTTTCGGAGGCAATGACCAATTTTATAGGGAAAAAACTTTATTATTATGGTCGTGTGATATATCAATTTGGTAGATAATTTTACAATAAATGTAAAAATATAAATAAAATTTGCAATAAACATTATTAAAAATGTACATTTTGCCGTTTAAGCGTAAAACATTTGAAACAATTAAATTTAGAAATAGAAATTATAAGAGTTAACGTGGGAAGGGAGGGCCGGGTAGGCGACGGGGTCTTAAATATTCATAAATGATTTTAAAGGAAAATTCAAACTAAAAACTGGTATTTACCAAAATCATATTAAAACTAATTTTTACAAACATTTCGGAGTAAAAAATATAGGTTATAAGATCACTTTGTACCAACCCTTGCCCCCACCCCGTCATTAATGACGCAACTGACGTCCTTTAGCGAAACTCCATAGACTTAACATGGGATATTTTAGTTTTATATTACTTTTAACATATATCAATTTATATTATGATTTTATTAAATAGATTTTAAATCTCTTTTATTCTTAATTTTTTACTTGT